TTTTACATGTTACATTAATTTAGCAATTTAAAAATATCTAATAAAAGAAAAGTAAAAAGTCAAAAACAAAAAATAAACACTACTTGCCAGATACATTTATGAATGGCCCACCTACATCTCAGATGCATCTCTAGAACCCAGTCAGCATTATCCAAACACTCTCTGCCCTTCCTGCACCATCCCAGCTCTTCCTTCTGGTTGCTTTTGGTTTTGATTTTCTTCATGTTACTACCATTGTCCAGTGGAAAAATGCCAGTCATATTTTACTTTTCCATACTACCTGCACCCGACAATCTGTGTCAGTTTTCCCCAGTGTATCATATCAGTTCTTTCATTTTTTCTGACTTACACTCTATCCAAATTCAGGTCTCAAGACTGCCCTTTATGCCTACACCATTGGTTAGCAACCAGCTATGTGATCTGGTCTCTCACTGCTTTGCCAGCTCTCGATTGGCCATGTCTTTCAGGATCACTTTCCTTGAGCCACATCAACCTTTCTTCATTTCCTGAAGTGCATTGAGGTTTTTTTCACCCTTGGTGTCTTTCCCCATATATTTCCACCTGCCTGAATACACAGCCTGTGACTTATCACAATTCTCCTTCTTTAGCCTCAGCTTAAAAGCCTCCTCCTCACAGAAGATATTCGTGCTCATCCAGTTAAAATCTGTCACTATATTATTTTCTCTCCCCAATGTATATGATGTTCCCATTGACTACATTCTCTGGTCCTCTGAAGCATGTCATCTCTCCACTTATAACTAATAAGTCGTTTGAGAGTAGGACCCAGGTTTTATACATCTTGACTTTGCCAGAGCACCTAACTCATTGTTTTGCATGTAATAATGCATCAACATAAACTTATAGAAATATCTACAATTATCTCAGTTTATGACATCACATGTTTGTATCATAGAAGGGCCATTCAGAAAAAAAAAACTTATTGATTGCCTGCTGTTTGCCAGGTGGCATATCAGGTGATGGAGATATAGTGATGAGCAACAATAGTGACACAACACATGTTCTTCTCTAATATTAGAAAGAGGAGAGCAAAATGAAAAGGTAAATACATACATGATTGTAAGTTAAAGAGCTCTGAAGAGAATGAAGGGGATCGTCTGCCAGGTGAGGTTACTGCAGTTTGGAAGAGGGTTGTAGCAGGGCAAAAGACGAATGTGTCTGAGGTACATTTCAAAGGTCAAATTGCTATAACTTAATGATTAATGGATTATATGCAGGGAATAGAGAAAGGAAGGAATCAAGGATTATTTTCCAAATTTCTGGAGTGAGCAACTGGGCAGATGGAGTGTTATTTTCTCAAAAGAAAGACATTGGGTGGATGTACGATGCCGGATAGATATCCAAATAGAGACGTCAGGTAGGCAGTATGACCCTGGAGCTCAGAGGAGAGGGCCACGTGGAGACACAAACTCGGGACTCATGTGGTATTTAATGGTATTATTTAGCTGGTATATAAAGGCATAGGGAAACGGGTTAGAGCTCCTAAAGAGAAAGATGGAAAGAGAAGAAAATGGGGCCCAGAAGAGAACCCTGGGATTTTCCAACACTACGGTGGAGGGAAAAAAGCCAGCAGAGAGACTCAAAATGGCTGGATAGAAAGGGAAGGGGCTAAAAAAATGCTATCACAAAAAGAGAGGCTTTGACGAAGGAGAAATGTTCACTCTTGATAATAACTGAGAAGTTGGGTGAGCCCATATGAGAATCCTCTCGACTGGGAGGACTTCTTATTAAGGATAGACAGCACTGTATTTTGCCTTTCGCTCTTATTTGAGTCCCTAAAGCACATAGTGATACATATTTAAAAAATCACTCATATTAATTGAATGACTGAATGACTGAATATTTAAGTTCAGTTGAAGGTCATAGACAGGCAAAAGTAGTATTTATTTATCTATTTTTTTATCCTCACCAAGGACTTTATTTTTCATTGTTTTTAGAGATAGAGGAAGGAAGAGAGAAATACATCAATGTGAGAGAGAAACACCTACAGGTTGCCCTCCAACATGCGCTGGTCTGGGGATCTTACACACCCATACCAGGTACCGAAACCTCAACCTAGCTATGTGCCCTTACCAGGAATTGAACCCGTAAACTTTTGGTTATGTGATGATGCTCCAACCAAGTGGGCCACACAGTCCAGGGCAGCATAAGTAGTTTCTAAAAGTCTTTTTCTAACCCCTCATATACCCGCTTCCTACCTGATTTTTCACACTTGCCTACAAAAGCATTGATTAGCACGAGAGCAATATCTACAGTCTTTGTCAAAGCTGCATTAAACGCCCTTTATTTCTGCTGACTTAGGAAAACTGAACCGGTCTCTAAGCCTTAAAAAACGGAAATCTGGGGCTAACAGAGCATGTTGAGGTAGCAAGAGGTAGTTGTTTCAAGAAGCATGGTGACACTGTAACTGTAACAACAATCATGCTCTACTGGCTGTTACTCACTTTAATTATGCTAACGAAAAGTATCGTTTTGAGTGTATTTCATCACATAAGATTTTGGTGAAGTGCGTGAAAGAAGAAAGTATGGGTTGGAATCAGTGGCTCTGACATTGCCAGAGTCTGGAGTGTGTGGAAGTGCCTTTGGTGCAACTGTTCCCTGAGCCTCAACTGGAGATGTGGCAGCAAAAACAAGAGGAATTGCTTATTTCAGAGTGATGGCAATGTGAGCTAGTTGCAGAACTGAAATCAACATGCATATCTACTCAGAAAGAAATAATCTTTGAGTGGAAAAACAAAGCAGGAACATTTTTAATGGGTCCTGTTATCTACCTTTCTAGAAGCCATTTCATTTCATTTTTACAATAGATTTATTACACACCATTGTTTGCCTTTTACTTTGTCGCAAATGATAAAAGAGGGTTGCTATTCCTCTTGTTTTTTTCTATTGACTAAAGAGTAAAAATGATTGGGTTGGGTTTGGCTAGAATATGCTTACTATTCTACAGATATCTCAAATTCTATGTCTAAAACTTAATTCATCAGTGCCCCATGTGTATGCCCATTCCCATGCATACACACATGCATAACCTTGTTCCTCCTGTGCATTTTTTTCTCTATGAATTATCATCATAATACTCAAATCCCAAACTCAAACCTCAGGCATCATTCTGACTCCTTCATCTCAGCTCCATGTTTGTATTTACCAGTACTAGCACCAAGTGCTCTTGGGTCCTGACTCTCATATCCCTTGAATTGATTGTTTCCTCTGTTCCTTCTTCTCTGCTTTCTAATTTAGGCCACCTCCATCTGACTGCTCATTAGGTAGGTACTGCAGGAGCCTCTGAAATTAGGTTTCCTGTACTCAGTCTTTCCTTCACATTTCTGAAACACACAGCTGACCAAAACCAATCTTTCCACAGCTTCCTGTGAGCCCCAGCAAAGAGATAAAATTTTCTAACCTGGTTTAGGCAGTTCATAATGTGTTCCTGCTTCCCTAGTCGCCCTCATATCATACCAACCAGCATATGGACAACTAAATGCTCCACCACGACACCTCTTCAGTTCCTCTGCCTGGTCCTACTGGAGCCTGCCCTCCTTCCAGCTCTCAGACAGCTTAGCCTGACTGAACCCTCCTCGACCTTCCAATCTCTCTTTAAGTGCCCCTTAAGCACTCAGAACTTTCTGTAATTAGTAAAAGTTTGTCTCTTTACCACTTAGAACTTTCCTGAAGGCTTATCCTGCCTTGCTCACCATGATATCCTGTGGATTTTGCAATGTGTTGGCTCAATGAATATACTGAATAAATGATTACAATTTAAGATGGGCTATTTCAGTGTGGATTTAGTGCATCCACACATGCTCGTGCATGCACACACGCACGTGCACCTTGATGAACCACTTTTATTTTTTCACACAGCAGTAATTAGTAACTGGACCTGCACCTCATGCAAATATCAGCCTAATAATCATCTACAGCTGTTTCTCTGGTTGCTCATGAAAGAAACCTGAAGCACATCTGGATTGCATTATAATGAAAATCTAGCCCAGTTTGGATGTCTTCTGCTATGGGTCCCGAGTGCATCTTCAGTGGGTTGGGGTGTCTGTCTCTTGACCTTACACTGGGCATCTTGTGATAAGGAGGTGGATGCGTGGAAAATGGCAGCAGCAAGAACTGGGTTCTTCGTTGAAGTGAAGCAAGACACAGTGCTTTCTTAAATCAGCCTTGCTGTTCAACTCCTAACAGTCTAAACCACGTGCCATTCAGTCCTGTGGGGGGAGGTTGGCAGCTCATCTGCGTCCAAGCCCAGGCAGCCCAGGGCTTAAGAGGAAGTGGGAGAAGTGAGGAAGTGGACTTACAAGCTCGGAGGGCTTTGAGTCGTGAACAGGCATAACGTCTTTGTGACCAAAGTACCTCCGGCGCCTTCAGGAGTTCCTTTTGTTTGTTTTAAATTTGTGGCCCTCCGGTTATTCTCATGCCCCCAAAATCAGATATAATGCCTAACTAGCAACGAAAGATCTGGACGGTTCGGCGCCGCCGTCAGATGCCCAGGTTTGTGGCTGGCCTTTGGGCCCCACCGGGGCAGGCCGTGGAGCCTCTGCGCTCACAGTGGGGTCCGCGCAAGTCGGGTTGGGGGCCACACCGCTCCGCATCCAGGCCCCAACCATGGTTCTAAGGGGAAGCCCATTCCCCTCCCAGCTCCACTCTAGCAAAGCCCCCAGAGTCCCGAGTGATCCGGATCTCAGAGGAGGCTGCGAGGTCTCACCGGACGCGAGTTAGCGGCGAAGATCTCCCAGCGCCCCCTGCAGCCGCTGGCCGGGGGTAGACGGCACCTAGTCTCGTCTCAGCACCAAACCCGCGACCCCACCCAGCGGCCCGCGCCCAGGATCGCGGGAGCATCCCCACCTCCCCACCGCAAAACCGGGTGTGGGGTCCTGCGGGCGGGTGCACTGCATCCCAGGCGGCCTCCGATTGCTGCGCCGGAGGCCCAACTTCCCCTCCCTCTTTGCTTCGGTCCCTCCCTTCTTCCCTTCCTCCTCTCCTGCCTGCTGGCACTGGGCTTGCTGAGCCTCTTCTCTTGGGGCCTTTTTCCCTTTGGCCTGCGTCTCATCCCGCGCAACTTGGGGACAGTACCATTTGCTGTTGAATGTTCCCCTTCGAGAGCGCATGGCTGGGGAAGCGAGGCGAGGGCCGGGCCCCCGAAGGGCCGCCGTCCGGGAGGTGGTGATGCTGCTGCTGTGCCTGAGGGTCCCTGCCGGGCGAACCTACAATGTGGACACCGAGAACGCGCTGCTTTACCAGGGAACCCCCAACACCCTTTTCGGCTACTCAGTGGTGCTTCACAGCCACGGGCCGAAACGATGGTGAGTGGAGGGGGACTCGGACGCTCTCGGCGGCGTGGCAGAGCAGGGAGTGCACGGTGCCTCAGGGGTTCCCTGCCCCGTGCAAACTTTCCTCTCTCTGGAGGAGGCAGAAGGGGAACACTGAGATGGCTGGCTCCCTGGGGATCTGCTCGGGAAACTAACTTCTTTTGGGTGGCAGCGCCCAGGGTGTGTCTGGCACAGGGCGCTGGAGCTCTGAGTTAGTGGTGGTGGGGGGCGGTGGGGTGCGCAGGGTGGTGGGCGGAGGAGGCGATGAGGGGAGCCGGCCTGAAGCCAGCTGCACGTCAGTTGGAACAAGGAGTTCAGAGGGCAGCACAGTCACGTCTACGCGCACGTGCCCATTTCTCGATTGCAGGCTGGTAGTGGGGGCTCCCAAGGCCAACTGGCTCGCCAACGCTTCCGTGACCAATCCGGGGGCGATTTACAGATGTCGGATCGGAGCGAATCCAAACCGGACTTGCGAGCAGCTCCAGCTAGGTGAGTCGGCTCTGGGACCCGCAGTGAGTAACGCCCATCCCCCACTCGTGGACCCCGCGGTACACAAGTCCTGGAAACACTCAGGTTGCCTATTACTTCCAGTTTAAAGTGAATGAGCTTTTTCACTCTTAACAGCACACCATCTTCACATAAAAGGGATGCCCTTCTTTACGGCAGTATTTTACTCCCTTTTGCTCATAGCGATAATTTGCAGTGATCTAACAAAACTCGATTTCAGAAAAACTAAACTATGTAAAGGAAAATTTCTTACACCTTCTCCTCTCCCCATCCCCCATGTGTAAAATACATTTTAAGGTTTCAGCACATTAAGGACAGGATAGAGCTAAGCCAAGAGTAAAGAATTTTATTTCCATCTCTGACCTACCAGCATTGTTAAAGAGAACAGGCTAAGGGGCGCATCAGGAATAGTAGTTGGAATTTATCCTGTGATTTAGCCTAAGAGCTTTCTAGAAAAGAAAATGATATGGCTTTATCTAGAACATAAAATATAAAAGAAGAGGACAGGAAAGATTCACATGTCCATTGTTAATACAATTAAATGAGGTTTAACCTATAATTATTAATTTTTTTCTCCAGAAAAATTAATATGTTAAGTGGATACCTCTATTTGAAGTCATTTCTTAATATCTCTTCTTCGATTTGTGATGACTTGGAAAATATGTTCTGAAGGGGAAGGGGAGAAAGTTCCTGTTTCAAAGCCAAAAGCAAATTTGCTTTATAGAGACACCATGGTGCCAGAGATTGGGGGAAAGGGGTGTTGGAGGAGGGAGGAGAACCAATATTAATTTAGACCTATCTTGTTCCAAACACTGTTAGGCACTGCTGTATCTGTTGCTTATTTTTTTTCCCCTGGGTCATAGGTGGCATTGTTCCTACTTAACAAATGGGGACTCTGTGACCCAAGGGTAGCAAGTACTCCTAAAGCTTACTCAGCTAGTGAGTGGAAGATGGAATACCCCAAGTCAAAGTCAGATCTGCTTGGGTCCAAAGTCCCAGCTCTGTCTTTTTATGTATGCATCTTCATTGCAAATAAAATTAAATGAATAGTCCAATATGTTGTCTGCTGAGCTGATGAGTCATCTGTAAGTGGTGAATATTTTTGTTGTCAATAAATTTTTGAGATAGTCTAATTACTCTGCCTTTAACCCCTTTTTATAGTTGTCTCTGCTTTTTCTCAAACTGGGAAGCTGGCTCCCCTCATTTAGAATATAGAGTATGCATATAATGGGATTTTTATTTTTAATTCAGAGAGCATCCATGAAGTAGTCTAGGAGTTGTCTGTAGCATGAAGAATAAGCCCCAGCTTCTCATGAAGCCTCTTCCATCCCAGAAAGCAGACTAGGAAAACATGACACGTTCACACACCTATGCATTTGGAATAATTCTGCAAAACATAACTTTCGTTGCATGAGGGAGTCGTGGGATAAAGAATTAGGGAGTAGAGCAGGCAACTTTGATCTGCCAGAGGATCTTGACAAGACCTCAGGGAGGGAACCTTTCATTTCTGCTGTCCTGTTGTAGTTTCCTGATTCACAGCATTATAGCTGCTGCTATCTAGCACTAATTCCTGTCCGGAAGGGCACTGAATCTATTTCTCGATGTTTATATTTTAACTGCAAGGATGTCATAGCATTATATAAAATTTCAGATAATAACGCCTGTCAAAACTGAAGGAAAACCTAAACACTTTGGGCATGTAGAACTTAGGGATTGACTACAGAAATATCCTCAGAGAAAGAACACATGGTAAATGTACAACAAACACAAATTAAGGGAAGATTTATTGGATAGATGGATGAATAAAAGCAAAGTGGAACTTTGATTGTCATTAACCTGATTGGTGAATAAGAGAAGTAATTAGAAATGACAAGCCAAAGGTATTTATGACAATAACAAAAGGTACTTACTAAATACCCCTGGCTGGTGTGGCTCAGTGGATTGAGCACTGGCCTGTGAACCAAAGCGTCACCAGTTCGATTCCCAGTTAAGGCATATGCCTGGGTTGAGGGCCAGGTCCCCAGGTGGGGGTGCTGGAGAGGCAACCGTACAGTGATGTTTCTCTCCTGAGGGAGGCTCCATCCCGCAGAGTCTCCTGGTCACCGCAGATGAAGAAATAGACTGTACCAGACACAATTTACCTGTCAGGAGAGTGGGTGGTGATTCTCTCCAGTGGAGAATGACCCAAGTCCTTCTCTTGAAGTGGCTTTTTTTGAGCTTAGCTCAGAGAGGTATTACATAGAATGCATGCAAAGCTCATCAATCAATGTTAAACAGTAATGACTAAAGGAAGAATATGAGGTTCAAGGATAACAGTAAAGGGGTTACAAGAGTCTTTCTGAGTCAGGGTCAGGTAAACAATGATGCCCATTCGGCCCTAAAACCTGGGAAAATAATCTCATCCTGTGCTCGGACCCCAAACACCAGTACTCGTTAACTCGAGGGCATTCTTAGCAGAGCAGGTTTCATAAGATTTAATGCATTCCTTTTCCAGGCTTAATTGCCCCCCAGGAACCACCTGATTCAGTTTAGGGTTGTACCTGCCTCTAGTACTGTTTCAAGCCTGAGTCAAGCTGAGGGAACAGAGAAGCCACGAGATAGGGAGACTCCTTTCAGATGGAATGAGGGCTCCAGCCATGACAAAGCCGAGAGGGGAGGATCTTGCCATCCTCTGGGGCCAAACAGGGTGATGTGAAGGAAGCAGAGGCTGTGCCCCTGCCAGGGGCACAGGTTTTGTCTCCTCAGTGGCCTATGTTCCCAAGGCCTCCTTGTGCAGCTCCAGCCTTGGGGCCCTCTCACCTGTCGGCAAGGCTACAGTCCCTGAAACCAGATGGGACAGTTCCCAACACTCTCCTTTTTCTCTGTCCCTTTCTCTAAAAATAAATAAGATACTTAAAAATAAAAATTTGAAATAAAAAAAGAAAATTTGATAGCAGATGGTTGTTAAAATAAGGCATCACTACTAACGACTCCACTACTGTAGTTAATCATTGTTCATCCATGGATTACACAATATTCAAAGCATTAGAACATAATAAAATTATAAAATTATACTGTAAAAATGATCTTTAATTGGTTATTCAAAATACATTTCAGGTCTTTTACTACTTTGAAGTTGCCACTAATTGTATCACACACGCACACATGCACACACATACACACCCACCCCAAATTGGCTACTAGAAGCTAAAGTTACAGTTACACTGCCCAGTACAATAGCCAGTAGCCACCTGTAGCTATTGAGCACATGGGATTAGGCTAGTTTACAGTGAGGGGTGCTGTACTCTAAATTACATACTGAATTTCAAAGATAGCACCAAAAAATAAGATACAATACAGTATCTCATTTTTCAGATATTGATTACATTGTTGAAATAAACATTTAAAATTAATAGTGATCACATATTTAAATGATAATATTTGCTGTATGAAGTTAAATAAAATATATTAAAATTTCACTTTTTTTTACTTTTAAAATGTTACTACTCTAAAATTAAACTTTTTATATGTGGCTTGTATTATATTTCTGTTGGACAGCATCGCTGTAAAGAAACCTAACTTTCCTGAATAAACTAACACTGACATTTTAGCAGGTGCTTTCCCAGTGTCTCTGCCTAAACCGATAGGACTTTCACATTTCTTTTCCAAACCAAGTGTGGTATAGTTACTAGACCTTTGAGATCCCTGCTTGTGCCTCTCTTTTCTTACTGGAAAGAACAATGGGCTGTCACATGTTAGTCATCATTATTCCTCTTCAGATTTCTTTCTGGAAATTGTATTACCTTAGCCAGCCTCCTAGTTTATATTACATAACCTGTTTGGGAGAGGTTAAGTCCATTAACATCACAGAGTTAAACTAATAATTACCTCACTCTCACTTCTACCTGATTTGCAGGAATTATTAGCTTAACATGAAAAGGCAAACCCCTGACTGTTGAAATTTCAGCTATGTTCTCCATAACTTTTCTTTTTCATTTGCGCTACTCTAAATTGTAGCTTGTGAAGTTGAGTTGATACAGACAGGTCATTTTGAAAAATCATCCCTGAACCTAGGTTGTTATGGTAATTATATGGAAAATCAAGACAGAGCTTCATTAATAAATTGTAATGTTAAAGAGAATTAAGTTCCCTGATTTCCAGCAATTTCCTAAACTCTACCAGAAAGTATGGTTTCCACCTAATTTGAGAGATGAGGTTTTCTAAAAGCGTTTTATTTTTTGTTTTAAATTTAATAGATTATTGAATAATATTCCTAATGACTTATAAATATCCCCCCTTGGCAACAGTTCTGGGGTCAAATATGGTAATCCATTAGACACGTGGGTCATTTATTTGGTCATTTATCAAGGGATGAGGAAGGGCCAGAACCTGGACAAACAGAAGAAACAAGGCCCTTGCTCCAGGATGTACTGTCCATTAGGTTACTTTAGGAAAGTATGGTGAGAAGATCTAATCGAGTTAAGATAATACGGTGATGTCGTCCTGAGGAATCGCTGTTCAAGTAGGGAACTAAATTAAAATCAGGAGTGAGTTCAAGGAAGAGGCTGTAAGAAAGGTGCAGACAGAGCAAACAGTGGGGCATGAAGGCCCTGCGGTTTTGAGAGCGTGGCATCTTTGAACTGAAAGAAACATGCGTGCAGCTGGACAGTGCAGGGTGAGTGGGTGGTAGGTGGAAGAGGTATTTTTGGTACAACTTCCTAAACTCTCTTTAAGACTATGAATTTGCCCTAAGGTGATTGAAGCAGGGGAGTGACACAATTAGGGTTAGACTGGTGTCTTAGACAGGTACTTCTGGTTGCAGAGTAGTGAATGCTTTGGAGGAAATGGGTCAAGATAGTACCAGTAAAAATGGAGACAATTGGAGACTCTACAGTTATTTAAAAGACAAGTTCATCAGGATGTGGTAAGAGAGAGAGGAAAAATAGTCCCCCCCCACCCCCAGGACATAATTTATTTTTAAATTAATGCAAAACAATACACTA